ATGGGCTCAGTGAGTCTTCGGTCTCCGCGGAAGAATCTGGGCGGGGAAGATTAATTGTCATGAAGAAATCTCTAATCTCTGTCCTTGCTGCACGGCCAGCTCCTGGCGTTCCAGCCAGGGGCACACTGGTTCAGACCCCTGATCAACCCTTGGAATTACCCCGTCTACTTTTTATTTGCCTCCCCCACCATGTCTGAGACTGCCTTGTTCCCCGCTCCATCTTCAGAGCAGCTCACCAGGCCTGGAACACAGCAGGCGCTCAACGAATGCCTAAACAATTGAATCACAGTTATTTTAGTTTTCTTTTTTTTTTTAACTAAAAAAAAATAAAAACTAGAATAGGGGAGGGGGCGTTTATTGTAGAGCATCCGGGAATTGGAGAAAAGGACAAGTGCTTTTGCGTGATGGATCTTATGGGAAAACTAGTTAATTCCATGGGCATGAGCCTACTGCTGCACAGATTTTACTGTGAGATGAGCGAGCCCCATGATCCGAAGCAATGCTGAAATGCACTGATAGTTAATAAGGCATTCCGTAAATCCACGGATGGTGGGACTGGCAGAAGTATTACGAATGGAGAGGCCTGACCCGCGCCCAGAATACCTGTCTATTCCAGTGAGATAAATCTCTGCTCCTTCAAAGATGGAAGGAGTCCGGGGGGGCCAGTGTACTCAACCTGCCACCAGGGGGCTGGCTGTTCCCCTCCAGGGAATGGTGCCATATAGGGGCACAGTGTTGTCTCTGCTGTTGGCGGGTTAGATATTCACCGGCTGACATGGCTACCTCCGTCGTTCCATCCATGTTACTACAGCCACTTTGTACATGAGGCCATTGAGCAAGCACTGAGGTGGTTGGGAAAAGAGGCCGACTAACATCCACAGAACGATTTGTTTGTCCATCTGATTACTGCCCGCTGTCTCTGCAGTGGACACTCTTTGACGAGCAGATGGAACACTAGTATCTTCACCCTCTATGCCCATTCTGTGAGGTTCATCTGCATAGCTTTTCCCCAGATTTCCTTGTAACAAATTTTCCAATCCTGTTTTTTTCCAAGTTCATGACCACCCGGCCAAACCAATAGCAACTGCCTATGAACAAGTGTAGATCCATACTTCTGGACATCTCTTCTTCAGGACAAATTGGTCAAGCAAATGCATCGCTCTAAGTTCTGCCCACTGGAAAGAGTTCCCTTCTTTACTGTTCTTCTGACCTACCTCCAAGTGGGACTGTAAGGCAATAGCCATCTGTCTTAGTTATCTTGTACTGCTGTAACAGAAATACCACAAGTGGATGGCATTAACAGACAGAAAGTTATTCTCTCACATCTAGGAGTCTAGAAGCCTGAATCCAGGGCCCTAGCTTCCAGGAAATGCTTTCTCTCTCAGTTCTAGGGAAGGTCGTTTTCATCAATCTTCCCCTGGTCTAGAAACTTCTCAGTGCAGGGACCCTGTGTCCAAAGGATGTGCTCTGCTCCTGGTACTTCATTCGTGGTGCTATGAGGTCCCTTCTCTCTGCTTGCCTCTCTCTCCTTTTATCTCTTGTAAGAGAAAAGGTGACGCAGGCCACATCCCAGGGAAACTCCCCTTACATCAAATCAAGGCTGTGGCCTGAGTAAGGGTGTTGCATCCCACCCTAATCCTCTTTAACATAACCTAATCTTGCCTCATTAATCACAGGCAGAGATGAGGATTTACAACACATAGGAAAATCACATCAGATCACAAAATGGAGGACAACCACATAATACTGGGAATCATGGGGTAGCCAAGTTGGACACATATTTTAGGGGGGACACTATTCAATCCATAATGCCATCCACTTTTGTTAGTGCCAGCACATTATGCAGAACATACATACACCAGGCCTCAGCATTTCCTCCTCAGTCAACTAGTCATGCGGATCGCCTCAGAGAGGCCACAGTGTGGATTGAGCGGGAAGAGGAGATGCAGCAGGAGTCAGTGTTGACTCAGCCTGTGCCACCTGCTCATGCAATTTACTTGTTGTGCCTTCAGGACATACTTAAGCCCAATCTCATTGCCATTTCCACCTGACAATAGATGGCTGCTGTGCATGCGCAATCTTATGGCTGGCCAGGTGTGTCAGATATACCCAATTCATGAGAGGAAGCTCAGGTCACAGTTACTTGACATTCCACAGATAAGTGTTCAGTGTCTAGGAGGGGCCAGTGGCAAGCCTGGAGCTATTTCTTTTTTAAATTTTTTATCGTACTTTAGGTGAAGGTTTACAGAACAAATAGTTTCTCATTAAACGGTCAGTACACACATTGTTTTATGACATTGGTTAACAACCCCACAACATGTCAACACTCTCCCTTCTCGACCTTGGAGGACCTTTTGTTTTTTGTTTTTTTGGTGAAAATATACATAGCCAAAGTCGCACCATTGCAGAAGTTTCTACATGTACAATTTAGTGACATCAATTACCTTCTTCAGTTGTGCTGCTATTCTCACTATCCTTTTCAGATTATTCCATCACATTATATTCAACTCACTGTCCCCTAGGCTTCCCATCAAACCTTTTGAGTTGCTGTTATCAATTTGATCTCACATAAATAATGTTTTTTTTTTTTTTGGTACCTTAGATGAAGGTTTACAGAACAAATCGTTTCTCATTAAACAGTTAGTACACCTATTGCCTTATGACAATGGTTAACAACCCCACGACATGTCAACACTGTCCCTTCTCAACCTTGGGTTCCCTATCACCAGCTTTCTTGTTTCCTCCTGCCTTCTAGCCCTTGTCCCTGGACTGCTGTGCCTCTAAGTACCATTTTGTTTTATGGGGCTGTCCAATCCCTGGCTGAATGGTGAACCTCAGGAGTGACTTCACTTCTGAGCTAAAGGGGTGTCTGGGGACCATACTCTCGGGGTTTCTCCAGTCTGGCAGGCCAGTAAATCTGGTCTTTTTTTGTGAGTTAGAATTTTGTTCTATATCCTTCTACAGCTCTGCCCAGGACCCTCTGCTGTGATCCCGGTTAGAACAGTCATTGATGGTAGCCGGGCACCATCTAGCTGTACTGGACTCAGTCTGGTGGAGGCCGTGGTAGCTGTGGTCCATTAGTCCTTTGGACTGATCTTTTCCTTGTATCCTGTTCTTTTCATTCTCCCTTGCCTGGAGCTATTTCTTAAAAGGAGAACAGTTATCTGATGAAGACATGGATTTTCTCCCAAACCATACATGTCTAGGCTGTGATTCTCCCATTAGTGCTCAGCAGGCCTGAGTGGAGGAACATCTTGCTTTGTGGACTGGATTTTCTGAGGAGGCTTCTCTGGTTCTGATCCCCACTCAAAACTGGCAGACTTATGAACCCTTAGTTAAGTGGGTCAAAGCAGCACACTCACATGTGGAGTATGTTGCCTCCAAATCCAAAAAGGCCCCCCCAAGTGGTGTGCCTCTTTCTTTACTGGTAGCTAGTACAAGGTGTAGCAACATGTCTTTCATCAAAGGTAATATCTCTACATACTCCAGACCACTGAACCCCCAGAAACGAATGAAATGGAGGGACTCTGAATTTTGTGGGGTTTATCTCCCACCCTCTTGTTCAAACATGTATTTCTAAGTATCTAAAGTATTTGCTACTTCCTACTTATCAGATTCAATCAGCATAGTATCATTGATGTACTGATGCAGGGAAGAGAGGATGTTCAAGATCTCAGAGGTTTATATTATGGCAGAGTCCCGAAGACCTGACCTATCTCCAGAAAGTTGTTTCCTGCTGCCTGGGGACTGTGGACCAGCTCTGGTCTGGGCAACATGGGGAACTTCTCCACTATCCAGTGGTCTGCAACCACACCTCCTTGATGTGATCTGACCTGAGCTTTCAGAGCGGGCTTCGCTTCCAAGTTTGTCCTTCCTTGCGTACTCTCCTTCAGCCCTAGGTATCCTTCAGCAATCTCTTTACATCTTTATAGTTACTCCCTTATTATAGTTTAGTAACTCTTTGTATTAAACTTTCTCTATTCAAATCATTGTGTGGTTTGTCTCCAGATTGGACTCAGACTGGTACAAGACTAAACATTAAATCTAGAATCTCTGATAAGTGCACCCATATCAGTAACCAAGCCTTACCTAGTCCTTGTACTCATCATTAGGTCCCTGGTGGGGCTCAACTACTCTGTCACATGGGGTTGCTATGAGTCAAAATCGACTTGGCACCTAACAACTAACCTAAAGTTGGCTGTTCGAACCCACCCAGCAGTACCACAGAAGAAAAGGTCTGGCAATCAGCTTCCATAAAGATTACAGCCAAGAAAACCCTATGGAGCAATTCTATTCTGTAGCACAAGTCAGAATTGACTTGATGGCAATGGAGTTTTTTCGGGTTTAGTCACTGTTATTGCCATGATCAATGTGTAATCACTACGGGAAGGCTGTTAGCAAATGCTCCAATCTTGACACTGGAGAATTCATACTGGAGAAAAAACCCCATAAATGTAATGAATGTGAAAAGGCCTTTACCCAAACTTAATAGCTTATTCAACATCTTTGAATTCATCCTGGACAGAAGCTCTGCAAGTGTAGAGAAGGGTTCAGCTGAAGCCCAGCACTTAGTCACCATTGTGCGGTTCACACTGGAGAGAAACCTTGTGGCTGTAATACATATGAAGAGACCTCTAGGGATCACTCTTCTTTAACAAACTCAAAGGGAAACATGAAGCTTTCTGAATATAGCCAGTGTGGGAAGAATTTTAGCTAAGCTCAATTATTCAATCCCAGAGAATTCATATTATAAAGAAATTGGGGTAGGGTTGAGGACATAAGGTCAAGAACCAGGAAGAGATCATTAGCATGTATTTTATTTAGTTCATTAAATGCGATTATCTTTGAAGTGCCAACCAAGGAGGGATTCAGCCGAGGATCTGAAATCTGCTGAGGAGGTGACCTTATCAAGAGTTTTACTGGGAGAACTGTAGGCCCAGAGAAAACTGGAAGAAAGTGATTAAAAAAGAAAAAAAAAAAAAAGAACATCTTCATTTAGTTTATTAATAACTTGCTTTTCAGTTTTTTTTTTTTAAAAAAATGAGCCACTGCAATACTATGAACTGTTATTTATTTTTTGTGTGTGGGAGGGGTTTCAAAATCAATCTGAGTAGGAGTAAATTCTAGTAAAAAACCTAAAGTAGAAGTCAAGAACTGGCAATACACAGCTGATTGTAGCTGCAGATTCACAGTATTTTAGCATTTGGATGCTTTTAGGTGAACAAGCAATTTGTAGCTCAGCAAACCTCCCATCTCACCCTATATAATATTTTATCTCCTGTAATTCCCCACCAAACACACACCTGCTGGCCCGTGAAGGCATATGTTTGTAATTCCCTGAGAACATACAGAAAATCAGGCTGACGGTCTGGCATTTTAGGACGTTGCTTACGGGACTAAAGTGAGCGCTTTTCTTACTCAAAGTACTTGGTTCACCATAATGCTTTGTGATCCCCAAAAAAGTCACTCCCACTAAGTACTGCACACTTACTATATGCCAAACACTGGACCAGGAACTTTGTATACATTATCTTATTTAACCCTTACATTGAGTCCATGAGCTACTTCTACCGTCCTTGCAGAAACGGTGAGGGTAAGTTATTTGCCTAAGGTGCTGAAGTCTTTGGCAGCGCTGGTGGTCTTAAGAGGCATGGAAAGCGAGTGTGTCTGGAGAAGCAGGCAGACTGACGGGAGAAGCTGGAGCAGCCGTGGTAGAGACGCCGATGGTAGGAGGACAGTGGGATCATTGAGAGTAGGTCCTGCCGCTAGGAGAATAGGAAGACTGTAGTTTAGGCCAATCCACATTGTTAGTGCCCAGGCTTCTCTCAGTCCAGGTTGTATACTTGTTGAGATGGTTCTTTATTTCTCCATTTATCTTTCAAATAAACCTTCCTCTACGGAACGTACTGACGTTTATACTGGTCCTTGCCACCTGGAAGAGCTTATACGAGTTTTAATATTTCAAAAAAAATTTTATTGCGAAAAGTATAAGAAGCTATTTACAAGCCAAAAAGCATCAGAATTAAATGGAACACATAATTGTTATGATACTTTTTTTTCTATACAAAAGCTAATCTTAACAGGAATTTAAAATAAATAATCTAAAAATCAGTGTCAGTGATTGCAAAGTGGGTCTCTCTCACTGTCTCCAGGTGATACGCCTCCTACGTAGCCAAAACATGAGGGGGTTGACATCTGCTACGAGCCTGAGCAGTAAGTCTCTGGCGAAGATTTCTCACTTTCTCCAGAAGATCTTGTTCTGTGGTGTCCCAGTCTAGTTTTCTTCGATTTAAAGAAACTTGAAAACAAAATTTGAAATGAACAATTCGCAATAATTTAATTTTCTGAGGTTAGCAAAGCTACAGCATTTATTTTAAAGGTCAGTATGTTGCAAAAATCAATAATGAAATGAATACCTGAAAGACCAAATTTATTGAACAAAAAGCCTAACATATTACCTAGTATCCTTTGCAAGCCAAATTTTTATTTGTTGAATGGAATGAACGGTGCCAGAGAACTTATCTACCTTGGAAGCAATATAAAAGAAAGTAAAATAAAAGTTCCCTGTATCTGTACTATATTCTAGAGTTTTAAAATATAATTTTGATTTTTAAGTGGATGCCACTGTATGCCTTGCACCAGAACCTAATTGTTTGATTGGATCCTCTAAGAAGTTTCCTTGTGCTACTTTAATATACTATTGTTCTGAGGATCAGCTCTTGGCAAAGCATGTATTTTTTACTAAAATAAACTAGAAATAACATTTTGGGAACAACTCACTTTCTAGTGGAGTAAAAGGATGCCAAAGACCATAGAACTATGGATCACAAAACTGCAGGATGGTTGGGACTTTTTTTTAATGGGAGTTCTGTTTTTTAACAGCTCGAACTCTTCAGCCCACCCCTTCTAGCCAAAATAGATGGTGAAAACAGATGGTGACTAGTGATTACCTTTTAGCTCAGCAATAATTTAAATAAAAGTGCCAAGTATACCTCAAGGAAAACTGTATTCATGACAGCACACCTTAGTAAAAGAATGAATCTGCAGTACCATGAAGAGAGAGAAAGGCATCCTGGACACTCACCTTCACAACATGGATTTTCAGCATGTTCTAAAGCATCACTTAGCTCCTGCTCTAAAAACCACCTTCTAGATGCATCTGAAAGAGCAGAAGCTCTCTTTTCTGATCTCAGATGAAACTCTTTTTCTTCAGCTTCCTCCCACTAAGTACAAATAAGTTAAAAAAAAAAAAAAAAGATTATACAGAAATTGTGATAATGCAAGTTCTACAGTGGTTTCCTCTACCCCACTTGCCTTCATCTTCCCAGGGACTTATGATCTAGTTGGTATTATGGTCATGTGGGTCTTAGCCCAAGGCTACTGAAGAACTGGAAAGCAGAGGCATGTTTTCTTTGTACCTCAAGGTGCCACTTAGCACACACAGAGATCCCAAACAACAGTTGTTGAAATAGCAATTATGAGATTAAGCTAGCTTTACTATTAATGACAGCTGTGTTTTATTTAACTTGAATGCTAGGCCTCAACAGTAATTTAATAATAATAATTTAATAATGTTTATTTGGGCTTCCTCTCTGCGCAATACCTATTAAACTTCGATTATCTTTAAGATGTTTTTCAACAAAAATCATTTGGTTTGATGATTTTATCATTTCATTATGTACCATTTCAAAATTTAACGTTTGATAGAATAACAAGTTCACACCCTTTTTCTTACCTTTTTAGCTTCCGCCTCCATCGCTGCATTTAATACCTCCATTTCTTTCCTTCTGTTATTCCGAAGGAGTTTGGCTACTTCCTGGTAACGTTCATTTCGTTGTAGAGCATCACATCTTTGTGTATGTAAAGCTTGAAGTCGCCAGTCAGCATCTATGCATGCTTGTTCAGCATTTGCCAAATTTTCTTCAATTATCTAAAAAAGGTTGTAAATCACCAAAACAAGGTCAGACTATATAAAATTATGGAATATCCATTCAATGTATCCAAGTATCTGGGGCAGTTGTTTTCAACCCTGGCTGCATATTAGAATCACCTGGGCACTTTTAAAACATACTGATGTCCAGGCACCACCATAAACCTAGCAAATCAATCTCTGGTAATTTTAAAAAGCTCTGAGTGATTTCAATGTACAGCTGAGGTTGAGAACTTCTAGGCTAGGGGACGCGTGGATTCAACAATTTCCATGCTTTCAACATTTTGAAAAAGGAGGAAGAAGAGCCTATTCTTAACAGGCTGGACAAAAACCTATAAGAAAAGAAATGAAGGGCTATTGTGGGGTTGTTGCAGAGAAGTAGGTAGGGAAAGCTTACACTACACCCGGCTTTTGGAACAGGGCCAGGCCCTGACGGGTTCTTATTTAACATTCTGATACGGGTTACGAGAAAATTCTTTCCTGAAGGTCTCAAGTTCTCTTTCAGTTCACCTATGCTAGCATTTCCCAAAGGGAACTCCATGAGAAATTCTATAAAATAAGTTTAAGAAATTTTCTTAGCAATTCACAATGCATAGTATCCTCAAATTTGGCATGAAAGAAATCTAACTTTAAGCCAGCATTTCCAAGACTTATCTGAGCAGCCCCTACTTAACTGAATAATAACCTGTTGCCGTCAAGTCAATTCTGACTGATAGTGACCCCACAGCACGGAGTAGAACTGCCCCACAGAGTTTCCCAGGAGCACCTGGTGGATTCGAACTGCCGACCTTTTGGTTGGCAGCTGTAGCTCTTAACCACTACACCACCAGGGTTTCAATTGAATAATAGTTACTAATAATAGTATATTCCACAGAATACACTTTGTAAATGCTGCCTTACATACTAGGCAGGACCTGATATTTTGAACCTAATCCACTTGGGCAATTTCTGAGACAGAACACTGCAGAACAGCATAATTTGTAAAGTTACTATTCCCTTTGTATTTTCTTCTAAGTCTTAACATTCTTAAAGGGTATGAAAGATACATGTACATGACTCTCCTTGAATTAAGCATCCTGGTGGCGCAGTGGTTAAGAGCTCGGCTGCTAACTAAAAGGTCGGTAGTTTGAATCCACCAGCTGCTCCTTGGAAACCCTATGGGCAGTTCTACTCTGTCCTATAGGGTCGCTGTGAGTCAGAATCGACTTGATGGCAATGAGTTTGGTTTTCTGGTTTTTAGATCTAATAAAGCAATGGGAGATTCCAGGAAGTGTGATAACTGAAGCAAAGAAATCAATTGAACTCAATTCTACAGAGTTCAGTTTTGAATTTGTTCCTCTGCAAGGATGACAGATGGAAATTCCCCCTCTATGTGTACACTAAATTTACCATATTTTTACCTTCTGAGCTTTTAGGCTCTGAGCTTGATCTGTTTCTAAGAGTTTATGGAACACATGTTCTTCAAGATCCACTTTTCGTCTGTAGGCATCCGTATCTTCTCTCATTTCTTTGGCAACAGCTTCTTGGTTTCTATTAAGTTTCTGTTAAAACAAAAATCATTTATATAAAAAAAAATCACTGATCTATATGATAATGCTAGAAACACAGCAATAACTTTTCTTTTTTCAGAATACTAATACGCACACAAATAGAAAAGTGGAATCATCTAATTTTCAAAGTAAAAAGCGAACACAGGGATGTCAGTGGAAATGGCAGTACAAGGACCTCGAAAATTCTATCACCCAAGAAGGCACTGATAACACAGGGAAACACTGTCAGATCAGCTTTGTCAGAACACTGGAGTCAAATCGAAGGCCCGGGTGAGCTGCCCTGGCTGGCCATCACCTGTCTGTGCCGTCACACACGCTGCCGGGAGGATGAAGCACAGTCTGGAGGACTCCGCCCGAAGAGGACAGCTGGAAGGTTGTGCTTCATCTCTCTATGCGGCTTCTACCTCTGCTGATTATAACCTGTCTCCTTTCAGTCATAAACCGTAAACATTAGTATAACAGCTTTGCCGAGTTCTGTGGGTCCTTCTAGCCAATCATTAAACCCAAGGGTGGTCTGAGGGACCCCCAACGCAGGCATATATATGTTATCTCATTTAATCCTTATAGCAGCCTTGGCAAGGCTGGTATTATGCCAAGGAGAAGACGTGAGAGAGAAAGAGAAGAGAGAGAAAACGGACTTGATAAAACAAGGTCCTAGAAGGTGAAAAAGGGGATGAGCTCTGAATCACAGAACAGTTTTTGCTTGTTTGTTGGTTTTGTTCAATTTTTCTCAAAAATAATGTTACTCAAATTAGATATATATGGTATGTCAAACTCATATTTCTAATGGAGGTAATCACAACATTGTGTGTTTTCTGGGACATAATTTGTTTAGAAATAGGCATATTTTATCAACCTCATGTAAGAGAAGTTTGTCATGTAAAGTGTTAATCAGTAAAGCCAATTTGAAAGAGGTAGTGGTTGCACATTTGCATCTAACTGAGCAGATAAAGTTCAGCATTTTATAAGTTAGTTCTCTTAAGTGGGTTAACTCTTCTCTAACCCTATAGGTTGGCTTAAATAAATACTCTCTACAAGATAGCAAAAAGGGAGTAATCCATATCTGCCTCCTGACATGATCCATGGAGAGAAACTCAGGCTCCCTTCCATGGAATCCCTGCCAACAGTCATTAACTTGAATTTTATCATGAAGAAACAACAGACAAATGCTAAGTGAGGACATTCTACAAAAATATCTGGCCTACAAGCTTCAAAATGATCAGTCATGACATACAAAGACTCAGGAACAATTCCAGTTTCAAGGAGACTAAAGAGACATGACAAGTGAGAAAATGGTCTTTAATTTTCTTTTGCCCATTATTGGGACAATTGGTAAAATCTGGATAAGGCTTCTACATCAGATAATATTATGTCAGCACTGATTTTCTGATTTTGACAACTGTACTGTGGTGATTTAAGAGGATTCTTTGCTTTTAAGAAATGCACACTAAAGTATTTAGGGGTAAAGGAGGATCATGTCTGCAATTAAACAGTTCAGAAAAAAAATGTACGTGTGTGTATATGTGTATAGATAGAGAGAGACCGAAGGGTAAAGCTAATGTAGCAAAATGTTAACAACTGGGGAATGTGAGAGAAAAATATTTGGAAATTCTTAGCATTCTCCTTGCAAATTCTCTGTTAAGTCTAAAATTATGCCCCCTGTCTCCTGTCCCCCCAACAACAAAGATGGTAAAAAGGAAACTTTAGCTTGGTCCAAATGAGTTACGTCTAATTCAAAACCAAAGAAGACTTAACCAAACTGTAAATTCCTTGTTGAGTTCTAAAATAAATTTGCTGTGGAAATTTTAAAACTATTGTAGACATGAATGGATGCACCATATTTTAAATCTTATTTAATGTGGATATGAAACAATCATATGCATATTAACCCAAACCAAACCCACTGCTGTCGAGTCAATTCCGACTCACAGCGACCCTATAGGACAGAGTAGAACTGCCCCATAGGGTTTCCAAGGCTGTAATCTTTATGGAAGCAGACTGCCACATTTTTCTCCCACGAAGGGGCTAGTGAGTTCGAACCACCGACCTTTAGGTTAGCAGCCAAGCACTTAACCACTGCGCCACTAGGGATTCTTCATATGTATTTTACCTATTATGAATTTGAAGTTATCATTAATTTCAAACTCAAGGTCTGAGTTTAAGAGGGTTGAAGGAAATGAAAACTTATGGTTGCAACATTAATTTATGGGCATAAATGAGTAGCAAAATGAGTACATTTAAATACAAATATTCTTTTGCTATTCTGATACTTTTTAAAGTAAACAATACTTTTCCCAAATAATAAATATTAATACTAATAAAGCTCCTTTTCCAGTGATTTGCAAACTAAATTGTAGGTACTAGGCAAATATTTGCTGATTTGATTTCAGAAGTTTCAAATTCAAAGTACTTTATAGCTATGGCCTGTTATACCTTACAAGATCTCTGTGAATTATTGAAATAGTTTTGCAGTCACTATTACAATTATATCCAGTGTGTCAGACACTAGCCTAAGTTGCCAATAGAAACATGAATTAAAGGATTACAACAAACTCCATATATTCAAACATTCTGACTACCTTATGACCCTGGATGATGCTGTATTCTGCTTAAAAAAACAAAATGAACATAAAAAAACCATTAATAATTACAGTCTAAAAAGGCTTTGTACAATCCATGCTTTTCTTATATTGGAAGTAGCTGATTTATACCTTCTCAAAAAGTCTCGTTTGCGATTCGAGTTCCAGGTTTCTCATTTCTAGATCTTTGGCTGTGGCAGCAATTTCTTGATCTCTCATATATACCTATGGCCAAGTAACAAACTGTGAATACCAAGAAGAATTTGCAAAGTATTTCTGCTTAACAGATTTAGAAATCTTATAACTTGAACAACCTACTAAAAGTATTAAAAATAATAATTAGGTTTTTGAAACCAGAATAATTGACAATATATTAACATTGGAATATATTAATAATATATTAACATGTGGAATCTAGGAATAATCTCTGAGTTAAAGTTATGCTTAATTTTGAAAACAACAAGCACGATTAACCATATGCTCATCTACCCAGACTGTGAGAACAGATGGTAGATCTTACCATATTACAGTAACGAATATTACAAGTTAGAAAAACTTGAACAGTTTAAATTTTGGCTAGATAAAAATATATAATATTTAATCTAATTAAATATAACATTTATTTAATGCTCTTTTTGGTTAAACTTCTACACGTCTATAAATTAAGCTTGGCAATTAATAACTCTAGGTTTAAATCTATTGTGGACTATTCAACCTGTGTGTACTCTGCTCGGGGCTTAGTTAATTTAGAGTTCACTTTTTTCTAAAATTTGATTAGTTGGAAGCTTTCATTCCTACATATTAGAGGTTATTGATAAGACACTCTCAACTACAGAATCTTAAGAACTGTCTTAAATACCTATCTGACTAAGGTACCTATTTTTTTGTGAGGAGGATAAAGTATGTGATATGTGTTTCAAAATTAAATAACAAAAGCACTATAACCGATCAGCCATCTAGCCTCGTTCATTTAGTTCAGCAAACATTTAATGACTGCATTACTACCTGCATTCGTAAAGCAGTGTTAGGTACTGCAGATAAAGACAAACGGCCTGCTGTCAAATATCTATAGTAGGAGAAACAGATAAAAACAAGAATACAGTGGGAAAGAGCTCAAAAGTGGTGATGCTTGAGTTTATGAAGGAAGAGTAGTAATAATCTCAAGAGGTGAAGGAAAGGTTTGACATAGCACAAAATGCTTTTCTGGAATTTCAATAAAAGAAACTCTTTTGCTTATGAATTTTCAGACACAAAGAGGGCAAAAAGAGATCAACTCTGCTTGCTGCTAACAGACATCCACAATCACTTGTGTGTGTCACTTTCATGCTGGAGCCTAAGCTGTGAGTTGAGGAGCTTCTACAGTTTGGCAGGGTCCAAGACAATATCAGAACAGGGATATGGAAGGACAGACAATGTCAGAACAGGGAGATGGGAGGACAGACAATATCAAAACAGGAAAATGGAAGGACAGATAATATCAGAACAGGGAGACAGAAGGTCCGAGACAGTATCAGAACAGGGAGACAGAAGGACAGACAATATCAGAACAGGGAGATGGAAGGACAGACAATATCAGAACAGGGAGACGGAAGGACAGACAATATCAGAACAGGGAGACGGAAGGTCCGAGACAGTATCAGAACAGGGAGAAACAAGGACAGACAATATCAGAACAGGGAGACGGAAGGACAGACAATATCAGAACAGGGAGACAGAAGGACAGACAATCAGAACAGGGAGACGGAAGGACAGACAATATTAGAACAGGAGATGCAACGACAGGTGGCTGAAAGGCAGGCACCTGACAGATCATGCCACTGAAAGGATTCTGCAGGAATCTCTGACCAAAAATTGTCTTCCCCTATCTCAAAGGGGTTTGGAATAAAGAAGTCAGAGTTCTAAGCCTGTACTAATTTTAGGGAAGAACATACTCCTCTTTAGAATAATACAGTATCATTCACTAGATGAGATAATTAAATGGGATTACAGATTTTAAAAACCACTTTACTACAACAAAAAGACAAACAATCCTATTAAAAAATGGGCAAAGGAAATGAACAGACACTTCACCAAAGAAGACATTCAAATGGCCAACAGAC